ACGCATCCCTATGTGCCCGTGCGATAAACATTTTCAATGTTACTTACAAACATACATACATACAAACATACATACATACAGGTGAAGCTAATATAAGCGTGTTAAAAAGCGTGGGGTGCTCAATGTACGAGAAATGTGGAACAAAGCACCCCACGCTTTTTTCACAATATTTCTAATATTTTTTGTTCATTAATATTTTCTGTTTATATTAAAATTTATTTTTCACTTTTTAGTTCAATTTACTATAAAAGCGTGTTTTTTAGTTTTTTTAAACTATATTTATTTTTCACTTTTTAGTTCGATGTATTATTTTGTTGTTCATTTTTTTATTTAAAAAAAAAAACTTTAATTCTTATTTGTGTTTTGTTTATATTTTGCACCATTTATCTTTATCAACGGCTAGTGCGTCGCACCGCACCGGTATCACACTCACACTGAGTGTGTCATTCCTGAATTCGCCCCAGAGATTTCCAGACTTTTGCAGACATTATCCAGACTTATTCAGAGCTTTCCAGAGTCTTCCAGATTTCATCCAGATTCATCCAGACTTGTACAGACTGATCCGGATTCTGGAAAGTGATCCCTAGGTCTTTTGGGACCTTTTCCAGAATTTTTCCGACCTTTTCAAGGAGTTTCCAGGCCTTTTCCAGATGTTTCAAGAGATTTCCAGACTCTTCCAGACAAAATCCAGACTTATCCAGAGTTTTACAGACTTCATCCAGATTTATCCAGCCCTTGTACAGACTGCTCCGAATTCTAGAAAATGATCCCCAGGTCTTTTGGGACCTTTTCCAGAATTTTTCCGACCCTTTCAAGAAGTTTCCAGGCCTTTTCCAGACGTTTCCAGACTTTTCCAGACATTATCCAGAGCTTTCCAGAGTTTTCCAGACTTCATCCAGATTTATCCAGACTTTTTCAGACTGATCCGGATTCTAGAAAATGATCCCCAGGTCTTTTGGGACCTTTTCCAGAATTTTTCCGACCCTTTCAAGAAGTTTCCAGGCCTTTTCCAGACGTTTCCAGATTTTCCAGACGTTTCCAGACATTGTCCAGACTTATCCAGAGCTTTCCAGAGTTTACCAGACTTCATCCAGATTTATCCAGACTTTTTCAGACTGATCCGGATTCTAGAAAATGATCCCCAGGTCTATTGGGACCTTTTCCAGAATTTTTCCGACCCTTTCCAGAAATTTCCAAGTCTTTTCCAGACGTTTCCAGAGATTTCCAGACTTTTACAGACAATATACAGACTTATCCAGACTTGTACAGGCTGATCCGGATTCTGGAAAAAGATCCCCAGATCTTTTGGGACCTTTGGCAGAATTTCTCCGACCCTTTCCAGAAAATTCCAGGCTCTTTCCAGACGTTTCCAGACTTTTTCCAGACTTTTCCAGGCTTTATCCAGATTTATCCAGACTTGTTCCAGCTCACTTGGCTTCTTCCAGGTTCTGGTTCATACTCTTCCCAAGGGTCCAAAAGTTCGCACGCATCCCTATGTGCCCGTGCGATAAACATTTTCAATGTTACTTACAAACATACATAAATACATACAAACATACATACAGGTGAAGCTAATAGTCCAAGCAATGAAGGAAGTTTACCTCAACATAATTAGAAGTTAACATTTTTTGGGGGGGATCGGTTCATTTTCATGTGCTTAATAACATATTAAGTTTGCGACCTTGTACTTCCATAGGGTTTTCAGTTAGGGGTGGTTTTTAGGGGTAATTTGCAGTTTATGGAGAACGCTGCTCAAAAGGATGGTCCAATAGCAAAAAGTTTCAAATTAATGTTTTAGCTGAAGCTTTTTGCTATAAAAAACTCAGCGACAGCACCCCTCTATCTTCTATAGTTTTTTTTCTGCAGCGTCTTGAATAGTAGCATGTTTTTGTTCAAGGTCACTGAATCAACGTTTTGCCATTTTGCGCGCATTTGTTGCAGCAGCGGCCGAATGCATAATCCGATTTCAATTTTTCAAACACCACATTATTTCTAAAGAAATCCACTCTCCAATGCTTTTTTGTTCGAATTTTTTGCTTGAAAATTAAGCGAGCACCGACTTGTCTAATGTGCGAGGAAGTTGTAAATTGCATCGAAAACTACCCCTTTCTTGCATTCACTCTAATTTCTAAACGGGGCCAAATATTTGGTGACAGTTTTCGATAATCGGCAGCCCATTTATTCCTCTCATAATGCCCCAGCGGATTTTTTTTTTCGTTAATCACTTAATGACTTATTGGCCTGAAAACGTCGCGTGGGATTTTTCAAAAAGTAAAAAAAAATTAAAATTGTCGCATAGCGCTGAAACTTGGTACGATGGCTTTATTTATTGTTCTCATGAATATACTGCAATTTTATATCATGTGAAGCAATTAAAATTGCATTATATTCGTAAGAACAATAAATAAGGCCATCGTACCAAATTTCAGCGCTATGCGACAATTTTATTTTTTTTTTACTTTTTGAAAAATCCCGCGCGACGTTTTCAGGCCAATAAGTCATTGAATAATTGACGAAAAAAAAAATCCGCTGGGGCATTATGAGAAGAATAAATGGGCTGTCGATTGTCGAAAACTGTCACCAAATATTTGACCCCGTTTAGAAATTAGAGTGAATGCAAGAAAGGGGTAGTTTTCGATGCAATTTACAACTTCCTCGCACATTAGACAAGTCCGTGCTCGCTTAATTTTCAAGCAAAAAATTCGAACAAAAAAGCATTGGAGAGTGAATTTCATTAGCAATAATGTGGTGTTCGGATTATGCATTCGGCCGCTGCTGCAACAAATTCGCGCAAAATGGCAAAATGTTGATTCAGTGACCTTGAACAAAAACATGCTACTATTCAAGACGCTGCAGAAAAAAAACTATAGAAGATAGAGGGGTGCTGTCGCTGAGTTTTTCATAGCAAAAAGCTTCAGCTACAACATTAATTTGAAACTTTTTGCTATTGGACCATCCTTTTGAGCAGCGTTCTCCATAAACCTCAAATTACCCCTAAAAACCACCCCTAACTGAAAACCCTATGGAAGTACAAGGTCGCAAACTTAATATGTTGTTTAGCATATTAGAATGAACCTATCCCTCCAAAAAAATTTCAACTTCTAATTATGTTGAGGTAACCCCTCTTTTCAGATCTCCGTTTCTTGGACTATAATATAAGCGTGTAGTGGAGCGAAACAGAGGCAAAAAGTCGCTTATTTACCGAGATAAAAAAAATCAGCGTACAACCAGGTGAAATGTTTATATTATTGTTAAGTATCTTAGTGGCTATTCGAAATGGTAATTTACGATATTTTTTAGTGGTCGAGAGATTTTTTTTTTAGAAAAATAGCACCAATTTGGATAAAATCGAAAAATGTAAATTTTAAGTTCACACTCTAATATCTCTAAATCTAACAAAGCTAGGAAATCGAATTTTTTACCAAAATAAAGTCCATTTATTGGGCTTTCTAACAGACCTATACATTGCTGTACCGAAATATGTTCTACGCTGACGCCGATCCCGTGCACGCTAAGCCTGAATTTTCAAGATTGCCCGATTTTGTAAAATTCATAGCAAAAAAACTATACATCGGATATAAAAGATTTTTACTTTAAAAACTTTTTGAATGTTTCTTCTTTCTTTGCTTCGCAGCATGTATGTGGAAAAAGTTGAAAATAAAAAAGTTTGTCGCTTTGTGAAATTTTAGAGTCATATTTTGTGACGTAACAGTTAAAACGTCATTTAAAAAATATAGAACATATTTCGGTACAGCCATGTATAGGTCTGTTAGAAAGCCCAATAAATGGACTTCATTTTGGTAAAAAAGTCGATTTCCTAGCTTTGTTAGTTTTAGAGATATTAGAGTGTAAACTTAAAATTTACATTTTTCGATTTTATCCAAATTGGTGCTATTTTTCTAAATAAAAAATCTCTCGACCACTAAAAAATATCGTAAATCGCCATTTCGGATGCCCCCTAAGACAGTTAATAATAATATAGGCATTTTTTTTTTACATTTTATAGGCTATTTCGCTCCACTAGTGTTCAAAAAGGGAGATGCAGGAAGCTAAGTCACTCCTGCAGGGGCATTACGAGCACGACGCTACGATGACGACATGAGGCAGAGAGCGAACTAGATCGTGACGAGTTGCGTGATTGCAATCTCATATTGGCGCCTATATTCGGATCGGCTTAAATTCGGGCGTTTGCGACAAATTAAATCGGCATTTGTCAATTTTTTCTTCAAAAGAGTGGTTAGATTTTATGCAGGTTTTGTGAGGACTCGATGATATCTTGCATGGTGTCGTAGGATTAAATTTTATGCAGATAGTTCAACCATTGTCAAGAGTGATAGTAATTACTTCTATCGGCCAAACGATAGGCACTGCTATCATGTCGTCTGTTCAGGACTACTGATGTCATTTGTCACTTTTTGTCTCATACATTAATTGTCAGGCTTCGGCCTTAATGGCCGTTTCCACCAACTATTTTAGGGGAGCCTTAACGAAAAGTATTCCCTAAAATGACATTTTTACATGGAGAAATGTCAGTTTAAGGAATACTTATCGTTAGGGCTCCCCTAAAATAGTTGGTGGAAACGGCCATAAGTCTTGTAGCTGTAGTGAAATATACATATCCAATTTGTACAGTATAGTTTAATAAAACAATATAATTATGGTTTAATTGATAATAATGAGATGTGAAAAATCCACAATTAAGTTAAAAAAAATATAAAATAAAACAAAATAAAAGTTTATATATTATATTTATTTAATAAGCATTGAGCAACTTTATCATTATCCCCAATTTTAATTTCAGAGTTTGGTGGCTAATTAGCGAGATTAACTGGATGTATTTCCAATGATAAGCAGAGAAAACATGTGGGATGTTACAATAACTATTTCCCAATAATTTTAATATGTAATTTCAGTTTAAAACCAGAAACACATACACCTCAAATATTTTTTACACCACGTAAGTATGTAGAAATAAATCCATTAAGTACCTATCTACTTACATGCAATGGTGTCACCCCTGTCGCATCCCGCAAATTGACATTTACTTGATGATGAATAAGTTCTCGTAAAATGTCATTTTCTCCATTAATGGCCGCCAAATGAGCGGCAGTTTTTCCATCTTGATTTTTTGCATCATATCCTGGATAACCAGATTGTAGTAAAGCCGTCACAACTGTAAAGTTTCCTACATCAGTAGCCCTAAAAATCAATAATTCTATCTCTCCTGTATCTATAAGTTTAGGAGTGTGGTATGCTACAGCAATTAGGCCATCAATCATTCTATGTAAAATATCTGTCCAGTTCATACAATAATTTCAATTTAAATAAACTGTTTCATATTCCTATGTATTATAAATTCCTCACACTAGTTAATGCATTTTAAAGGCAACACCTATTAGTATTACATAAAGGAATTCCCTTGGGAATACAACATAAGTTTGTGGATATTTAACTTTTGTTTTTAATGTTCCTGACTAATCTAAAAAATACTTATCATTAGTCATCATGCATTTATAAAATAAAACACTGAACTGAAACCTCTCAGAGAACATTAAAGATTTGTAACTGGTTTTACCTACATATTCTCGTTTCCTTCGGAATCTGATTAATTTCGTTAATAAAGTAAACAAGTTCAATGCACATTATATCATTTTTCAGTAATCTGGAAAATAGGCATTTGTCATAATTCTGTAAGATAATAGATAAGATTATAGCCATATTAGCAATCCTAGCTTGCACTGATTGCATTTAAATTGTGGTTAATTTAAAATTGTGGTTAATTTATTAATAGGTAGGTAAAGTATTTTTCACAATAATTGGTATCGAGTTAATGATTGCAATAAAACTACTGATTATATTCCCATTCTGTTCATGGCCGAGCTCTTCAAAACACCCAGCTAGTAGTTAAAAGGAATCAAGCATTTATTGTGAAAAATACTTTTTTTTTTGTACAGGGTATTTGATGGGCTTAAATATAATCAAATACCCTGTACTGGGTGTGTTCCTTATAATTAGTGCAGCTTGTATAGCTTAAGCAAAAGAAAAAAAATTTAAAAAACTTATATACAAAAGTGTCAGGTTTTTATCTCTATTATCTTTTGCAAATGTCAAAACGGGCAAATGACAGGTGCTAACTGTCATAATGACATACACTTGCATTTTTTTAAATGGAACACCCTAAGTGCGGCATCAGTTGTTTACAATGGTTTGCCTGTTGAGATAAAAAATGAAAAACGACTAAATGTGTTTATAAAAAAACTTTAAAAAAATTATCAATTAAAAAAAAAAACATATATATAGGTTTTTGCGCTATTTAATTTTTTGCATTGATAAAGTCTCATCATTGATGTAAGAAACCGGGAACAGACCTAATGGGTAATGTATGTAAATGCATTTTCAAAGTAAAAAAGCGTGAGAACAGCTGAACCGAATATTAGCATATAATATGGTATATTTGGAATCAGAAGAGAAAAATCTATTATTCTAGTCAAAAATATACAGGGTGGGCTATTCAAAGAAATACAAGTGTATGTCATTATGACAGTTGGCACCTATCATTTGCCTGTTTTGACATTTGCAAAGGATAATAGAAGATAAAACCCTACAACTTTTGTATTAAACTTTTTTTGATTTTTTTTTGTTTAAGCTGTAGAAGCCACACTGTCTAATTATAAGGACAGACCCTGTACAATATGCGTACTTACGCATAAAAATATAAAAATATTCTAATATTATTATAGGCAGTACTATAACCAGGTAACTAGTAAAAATTCCATATTTGGGCCATTGATATCAAATTATAACACTTGATCATTTATTTCTAGGTATGATGTTACTGAGGATTTTACATTCAATCACTTATACCTAGTTGCATTAAGCCCGAACCTCCAAAATAGAGATTTATGAAGAAATTGTTGATTTTGAGAAATGGGTAAAATCACATGTAGTTTAAATTTTATATGTTTTTGCAATTTTAGACACAGAAGGTGCTAGCTATACTTAAACCAGCACCTGGACAAAAAACTTTTTTTTGAAAAGACTAAATCAGCCCAAATTACTGAGCGATGTGGATATTATTGTTGAGGCGCTAGCTTAAAGGAACTTAACACTTACCTATGGAGTAAATTGGTGCTCCCAGATCTTCGAGTTTCATGAGGAGGTAGGGAGCCTTCAATATATTCGGTAAGGACCAATCCATCATCAGAAAGAGGATTTTCTTTATAGTATTCAATTAAATTTTCTAGTCCGTGAAATTTGACTGATTCGTCTGAAAAGGCCAGAACAAGAACTTAAATAAATGCTAAACATTGAAAATCCTTAACAGATTAGGAGAGCTAGAGTGAATGTCTTTGGATTCCATATAGGATGGGCCTCAGGATAGGCACAATTTTCTAGCTTCTTAAAATGCCAGGGTGTTATTCTAATTAACTGTGCAGTTAGGTACAGGGTATTTGATTATATTTGGATTCATGCCTACAGCCTTTACTATTTATGATAGAAAAAAATTTTAAATACAAAACTTGACGGTTTTTTTCTTTATATTTTTTTAACAGTATCAGTAAAAACAAAATCGCATCAGAAAATAGAGAAATGTAGGCAACTTCGACTTTTTTTAATGTAACACTCTGTATATTATGCGATTAAATGAAAGATCTTTTCTTCCTGATTCCAAATATATATATATATATATATATATATATATAAATTCAAAAATTTTACTATAGTGGGTTATTTTGGCAAATGTATTTGGGCTAAAAAAAATTAAGTACTCTTTTTTGTTTCGACAAGCTTTCGAATTACTTTAATTCTTCTTCAGGTCCTTAAAATATGAAAATACAATATTAATATAAATTTCATAAATAATAACATGGAGTTTACTTACAAACAAGGTGAGGCTAATAAATATAAGTCCTTATATCATATGCGGAATTGGAAAATTTCATTCTACGTGTGAATATTTTTTAAATATAGGTTTTTTTTCAATAAAAAATAGTAAAATTGACAAATAAAAATTGAAAAATGGCATAAGTTTGAAACATTATAAAAAACCAGAAAATAATTAAATATATAATAAAGGTAAATAAGGTTGGGTATAAGGTTGAATATAAATTAAATAGGTATCGGGTCTTCAAAAAAAAAAACCAATCAAAGATTGCTATGGTTTTTCAAATGTATGTCTTAGCAATATTTTTCTTTAATTTGTCAATGAACTTTAATGTCAAAATGTCATGTCAAAAATCCTGACCAATAAAGAAACATTAATGCGACATACGTTTTCGTAACCAAAGCAATCTTCGATTGGTTTTTTTTTGAAGACCCGATATAATAACTACGTAATTTGGAATTCAGCATTTCTCTCAACAATATTATTAGTAGTAGTGAAAGTTAGCAAAAAGGAATAAATAAAATGTAAGTCTTCTAGATCTTTCTTTTTGTTTAAACAATTTGTACCATTGTTAATTTCGATCATCTCCAAAAGTTGTTATTTTCAGTATGTAATATGTCTATGTTGTTAAAAATTGGAATATGACCAGTATCTATGCAATGCTCCGATAATGCACAACTTCTTTTATTAAGTCTTATGTCACTTTTATGTGAAGTTAAACGGTCCTTAAGAACGCGAGAAGTTTCCCCTAAATATTTTTGATCACATTCACATGATATAGAATATACTACCCCAGATCTCTTTAAATTTTCATCCTTACTTTTTAATTTTGAATAAATATTACCGATTTTTTTAGTAAACTTCTGTGATACTTTAATATTTATTTCATTATTCATAACTTTAATTATTTTAGAAGAGACGTTTTCTATGAAGGGTATCGAGAAATAAATTATTCTATTTTCTTCCTCATTTAAAATTGGTGTTATCATATTATCATTTCGTCTTTGTTGTAAATTATGATTTCTGAAATTAAAAAGTAATTTATTTAATAATTTAGAAGGATAAGAATTTTCTAAAAGCATTGTATATAGTTTTTTTAAATTTTTGTCTTTGAAAGTTGGATGGCTTATTTTAATTGTGATTTTTAAGACCTAAAATTAAATTGATTTTCATTTTTTCTGTATGGCTTGAATAATAGTTCATGTATCTTCCTGAATGGGTTGGTTTCAAATACCAATCAAGAATTAATTGATTGGTACTAGTACGTATCACTTTTGTATCTAGGAACGGAACACTTTGATCTTCTGATTCTTTTTCAATTGTAAATTGGATATTATTATTATATTGATTAAAACATAATAGAGTATCTTCTATTTTATCATAAGGAATTGCTGTTATAAGATCATCTACGTATTTTTTAAGAAATACAAGTCTACCTGGCATTTTTTTGTTACATTCATCCAATAAGTCATCCATTATATATTGAGATAATATAGGAGAGGTCTTTCCTCCCATTGGTGCACCTAATATTTGTTTATAATATATATCACCAAACTTACAATAATTACTATCAAAAAGAAATTTAATTATATCTATAAACATAACTTGTGAAATTTTAGTAAAGTTTTTTATTGCTGTCCACTTTTTTTTAATACTTTTCCTAACTAGTTCAAAAGGAATATTACTAAAAAGTGAAACATCATCAAGACTAATGAGAACATGATTGGGAGGAAGTTGGTAACCATTTATAAATTCCACAAAATCAAAAGTATCTATAACATAATATGGATTGTCTTTATTATATGATCTTGTTAATATATCTGTTATCAAAACAGACAGTTTACTATTCGGAGCATTGATAGAGGAAATTATTGGTCTTACACATATACAGGGTGTCCCAGGGAAAACAGTCCACCCCGATTTATTGGATTTGGGATGAGAATCTGGAAAAACGCTCGGACACGTCAATTTTTGATTTGAGGGGGAACTATTCTTCAGTTTTTCTCATCCCCGTAGCTTCAACCCCCTAGCTAAAGGGAGAACAACCCCCCAAATTTTAATAGGGGATAGGGGTCATGTCATATCTCTTTTTAAAGGTCTCATTGAGCTCTTTATGCCCCTAGAATTTCGTCTCATTATTTTCATCCGTAACGAAATGACAGCTTGTCAAAATCTTGGAAATAGACTATTAGTTTAAGTGGAAGCAAAAGCGATATACTTACCTCCTCTAATGAAAATACTTGAAATGAAGTTTTTTCTTATTATTATTAATGAGGTGTACACGAGAATTGTAAATTGTAGGTATTTTCAATCCTATTTTTATTAAGGGAGGTAAGTACCGCTTTAACTCCTACTAAAACATAGTCCATTTCCAAGATTTTGACAAGCTGTCATTTCGTTACGGATGAAAATAATAAGATGAAATTCTAGGGCCATAAAGAACTCGATGAGACCTTTAAAAAGAGGTATGACACGACCCCTATTCCCTATTCAAATTTAGGGGGTTGTTCTCCCCCTAGCTAGGAGGTTGAAGCTACGGGGATGAAAAAAACTGAAAAATAGTTCCCCCCCAAATCAAACATCGACGTGTCCGAGCGTTTTCCCGGATTCTCATCCCAAACCCAATAAATCGGGGTGGACTGTTTTCCCTGGGAAACACTGTATATATATTGATTACATTTGGGTGTGCCGTTTTTGATATATCCTAGCTTAAATTCTAAATGAAATCCAAAGAAATTTCATAAAGATTTATATGTCTTGACATCCTAATGAAATTTCTTTGCAAATTATTTATAATTTAAGCTAAAATATGTCAAAAACGGCTCACTCAAATGTGATCTATTCTGTCTGTCTGTTCTAAATTTTTTATTTTTTAACCGATTCAATTCATTTTTTTTTTGTCTTATAGCTACTGGAATTTGGCACTTATTAGGCTCATAATTTTATTTCTTCGGCTGTACTGGTGTACAAGATGTCCACATTTATAGGCTCCAATTTCAATAAGTACTATTAGGGATTTTTTTTGGGAAAAATCTGATATTCTTGTTTAGAATGGTCTAAAACCCAAATGTACTAATTTATGTTTCAATATGATACAGGGTGATCCCAACAAATTTTCAAAAGTTAATTGACCAAACCGGAAAAATTTCATATTTTGAGGCCTTGAGAACAAGAAAACTTGATACAACATAGTTTTAGAACATCCTTAATCAAAACTTGTAGTAAGCTTGTCTCAAAATATAACATTTTTGTGGTTGAATTCATTAAATTGTGAAAATTTGTTGTCATCACCCTGTATCGTATTGAAACAAAAATTAGTACATTTGGGTTTTAGACCATTCTAAACAAGAATCTGCTATCAGATTTTTTCCAAAAAAATTCCTAATAGTCCTTATTGAAATTTTAGCCAATAAATGTGGACACCCTGTACACCAGTCCAGCCGCAGAAATAAAATTATAAGCCTAATAAGTGCCAAATTCGAGTAGCTATAAGACAAAAAAAAATTAATTGAATCAGTTGAAAAATAAAATTTTTAAAAGGGTGGTCAGTCCTTAAGCGGGACACACTGTATATGTATATTTGTAATCAGGAAGAAAAGATCTTTCATTTTATCCCAAAATATACAGGGTGTTCCATTAAAAAAAAAAGTTGTCTACATTTCTGCATTTTCCGATGCGATTTTGTTTTTTCTGATAACGTTAGAAGAAAATACAGAAAAAAACTGTCAAGTTTTGTATTTGAAATTTTTTTCTATCTTAAATAGTAAAGGCTGTAAGTATGGGTCCAAATATAATCAAATACCCTGTACTTAGGTACTTAGATGAAAACACAGTTTCAAGCAGCAAGCAGCACATACACATTTCAGAAAACAGTAGAATACAATTATTTATAAAGAAGGAGGTTTGGGAATGCACCCACCCACACCAAAATCAGTAAAGTACAAAGAAACTCTTGTTTTTTTATTAGAAAGCACATTGCCTATTATGTATTTTGTTCTAGTTGGTTTAACACTCACTTAAAGAGAAAAAAGCATCCTCTTGGTGTCTTCTTATTTGATAATTGTTGACTTGGCTCTCAAATAATACAGACAGGACATAATCACTTGGTGACGAAACACTATCTCTTACTATAAACAGCCCATTAATTTTTCTTGGATCTAGAACAAAATTATTAATTTATAGTTTTTCGCTGTTTTATAAATTAGTTTCATTAGTAAAGAAGAAAAAACATTATTGTAGGAATGAGATAAAGTTACTAATTTAATTCTTATTCTTCATTTTTTTTACCTTCCCATAAAAGTTTTTCACCTTCCTCCCTGGTTATGTTGGGATGATACCAGCAAATTTCATCGCCCTGACTCTGATTCATGGTGGTTGGAATAAAAAAATCCAGTTATCATTTATTATTGGATTTCTAGTAGTTAAATAAAATAGTTTGTAACAAAAATATATTATTCGTACAATAACAGAATTGAAAAAACACTCAAGACAAAAACAAAAACATATCTAATCAATTCAATCCCAGTCTGCCATATTTTCATTTTTCTGTTTTGCAGTCTTGCAAAAACAAATGAAAGTGGGGCTGGGTTCCGTTTCCAACCTTGGTTACGGTTACACGTTCCGTAATGTCTGGTGCCTGAAATACCGGTCTATAGTCTATACGGAACGCGGTTCCTGAAAATGGTTTTATGGGTCAGTTTCTGCAGAAATCATGAAACACGCTTCGACGCCCCTGCGCGTCAGCACACGCTCTGAAAAGAACGGTATTTAAGGATCAAAATTTAAAAATCCAACCTCAAATTACAAAGTCTGTGTAAAATTAAAATTATTCAAATTAAATGGAAAATAATTCAGAAAATGCTTGAATTCACATAATGGTGATAACGGAAGTAAGTACAGAAATATAGGACACATAATTAAAATTCTTGGAAAAATATTCGGTAGTTTTCGTTTAAAAATCGGTAGCTAGGCGGCTGCGTCATATGACGTCATTCGGCCACATTTTGCTGGCCTAATTTATAGTCCTTCGTTGAGGTTTTCCCAGAACTTAAAGAAACCTTGAATGCTGGTCGCTGATGCCTCATTCTCACTTGCGCGAAATTCGCTCTTTTTGCACGAAATTCGCTCTTTTTTTGACATTGCTTCGAAAAGTTGACGTTTTATGCGTGTATCAAACGTCAAATTGTCGTAGCAATGTCAAAAAATAGCGAATTTCGCGCAAGTGAGAATTAGGGAGGATTTTCATGCATCCGTTTTTCCGTCGAACTATGTCCGTTTAACATTCTATTCTGACATAATCGTATATAAATATGTCAAAACGGATCAACGGATTGACGGATAAACGGATGCATGAAAAGTAACCCTAAGGGAGGATTTTCATGCATCCGTTTTTCCGTCGAAATATGTCCGTTTAACATTCTATTCTGACATATTTATATACGATTATGTCAGAATAGAATGTCAAACGGACATATTTCGACGGAAAAACGGATGCATGAAAATCCTCCCTTAGGCTTACTTTTCATGCATCCGTTTTCCGACGAAATATGTCCGAAAAATCTTCTATTTTGACATATTTTTATACGATTATGTCAGAATAGAATGTTTTTCGGACATCTTTCGTCGGAAAAACGGATGCATGAAAATCCAGCTTTAGGGAGAATTTTCATGCATCCGTTTGTCCGACGAAATATGTCCGAAAAATCTTCTATTTTGACATATTTTTATACGATTATGTCAGAATAGAATGTTTTTCGGACATCTTTCGTCGGACGAACGGATGCATGAAAATCCACCCTTAAACTTTATGCAGAATTGACATGACTTACTTGTCAAATAGGAATAAAATGTCCATTTTAAACTCACGACATCCAAGGAACGACTATAAAATCGGCCCTTAGGTAAATAAAACTACAGTGGCTAAATAAACCTTTACATACAGTGGCGAAAATAGAGGGACCGCCGTCATTTTGTGCCCAACCTCTTGCTACTTTTAAATATGAATATATAAGATTTGAATGGACATAAATCATAAAAAATTGAAAACAACGTATTTGATGTGCCTAATTATAGTCATCGGATACGTTGTTTTCAATTTTTTATGATGGCTGTCCATTTAAATCCTATATATTCATATTTAAAAGTAGCAAGAGGTTGGGCACAAAATAGCGGCGTTTTCCATATGAATATATAAAGATTTCAAAGAACCAATAGCCCTTTTCACGTGGCTCCCGTTTACCAAAACGCAGCATACCTCTCAAATTCGAGTGGTGTCGAAGATGTCACTTTGTAACCGGGTTAGAAAACGGTATGTCATTTCTCTAACCGCCTCGGCGATATATTGTTACGTCGAGCGGTTAGAAGAAAAAAATATAAACAACGGAGAGCGGGAAAGTTCGGAAAACTGTAAAAACTAAATAAAAAGTTGTGTTTTGTATATATTATCATATTTTATGAATTTGAAGCACGAAAGCGAAAGCCGTTTTCCCTTGTATACAGCCTGATTTACGTAGACCGTGCATTAGAAATTGTTCAATTTGCAGGTGGATTAGCATTAATACCACCTAATCTACCTGCTAATGCACACGAGGACTACGTATTTCACCCTGTATTATATACTCAAAAGATGTACCAGAGACAATCCCAGTTTACCTACTTGATGGGCTGTTATGTAGACTGTGGGTAACGAGAACATATAAACTTTAGATAAACTGGTTCTACTAGGTCTATCCGGCCTATCCACGCATGGTCCACATCTTACGTATTGAACGAAAAGAAATTAAACTACCTACTTTTCACTTTTTATTTAGCTTGCTGTAATAAAAAGGAATGAAATACTGGGTAATTCCACAATTTTGAAAAAAAAACTTGCGGCCCATATTTCTTCACATATTAATTAATTGTGATTTGCTCACATTTAAGATATGTTTGTCCGTAGTAGACATTATAGGTAGGTCAGATTTAACGACACTGGCGAAAATATTGAAAAATCAAAAATTAAAAACACAAAACAAGTCAAACATCTATGCCTTACCTCAAATCGAATTTAAAATAACATTTTTCTAACCGTTCGTTTTCAAGTGGCATTTTCAGTGATGTCGTCACTTGACATACCACCCCTAAAACCGTTTTGTAACACGGTTAGTTTAAACCGGAGCGACGTGAAAAGGTGTAATTAAAAAGAAGACGGCAATTTGTCGCCACAGTGATAATAGAGTCACTGTAAATAAAACCAGTCAATAAATTTAGTGATAATTTTATTGTGCAATGTGCTTTAGAAACACAGACTTCCAATCTGAAATAATACAAAATTGAAAATATATAATTCTATATCTAATTCTAATGAGGCAGGAAGACGAAGAAAACGAAACAACCTAAACCATTGCCCCGTGGGCAAATCAGAAAATCATAGTAAAAGCTTAAATTATTGTGTAGCATTCTGTAAAAATTTCAACATTTCAATGTAGGTCCCCAGAGGTCGCCATCATATATTGTAGCTACAGTGGCTAAATAAACTTTTACATACAGTGGCGACAATAGAGGTCCTGCCGGCATTTTGTGCCCATCCTCTTAATGTTACATTCAAATATGAATATACATGTATAGGATTTAAATTCACATCCATCAATTGTGGATTCACCACAGTGTCAATGTCAAAATATAAATTATAAATAGATTGTGATGAAATTCTAGGTTTGCTTTTATCTTAATCTGAAATAAGCTGTTTAAAAAGGGCAAGCCTACGCTACGAAAGAAGCAGGTACCCAACCCAACCAGAGTTGACGCCAAAATAATGTTTTATTGGCCCCCACCCACATAACAAAATTGCATCCTTAGAATGTAATGGGAATGTTCTTTTTTAAGGAGGAATGTGCCTAGAATGTTCGCCAAAACCATTGCGAATGTCCTGAGAATGTTCTGAGAAAAGATTGTAGAAATACTGTTTGCAATACCCAAGAACTTCCTGGGAAATCCGTCAGGATGTTCCTAGAATATACCTATGAGATTCTCAGTACATCCTGGAAAGAATATTCCTGTTTGATTCTAAAAATAGCTTGAAATGTATATTCTTACATTCAAAGAATGTTTCTATGACATTATAGTTATGTTCTCAAGAGAATATTATACCAATATGCTTGAAATATTATACATATTATATCATTCTCAATATGCATCCTAGACATAACATTCTTGTTTGATTCTAGGTATATACTTGGAATGTTAATTTTCGCTTCTAAATAATGCTCCTTTCAGTCCTTTTATATTAAAGGCAGTGAAAGAGTTGTTGGAAAACTTCTCTGGAAAACACAAGTGTTTAACCAAAGCTCCGGTTTCGAGCTTGTTATGCTCTCGTCGTGGTAAGCAGGCCAACTGAGAGAAACAGGTTCCAAGGTGATTCAGACGCTAGGCAAGATGTAGATCTTTAATAGCGCGTGGCTCCCTCTCTTGGAAGTGCTACAAAGCAAAAGAAAAATAATATACCTATAATATTCTTAGTGGGTTTTTTTTAAATTGTTCAATTAAGATTTTTGAGTAGGAACTTAAGATAATTAGGTGAACAATATGAAAATATTCTTATCATGGTTATAGTTTATACAAAGTCAATCCGAATGGCATAAAAACTGTGTAAGCGGCATCTTCTTTTGAAATTAAGCATATGCGTGCAACAGCCTAGGAATTAGAATTAGAATTCTTCGTTCTTGGGAATTCCTAGGCTGTTGCATGCATATGCTTAATTTGATGAGAAGATGCCACCTACACAGTTTTTATGGTATTCGGATTGACTTCGTATAAACTATACCTACCTACATAAACTTGTCAGCACAACTTGGTAGGTATATTCTTAATACTTGATAGAGATATTAGCCGAAAGAACATCTTTTAGGGTACATTATAATAATGTTCGTTTAACAATATTCAAATAATGTTATATAAAGTAGGTTCTTAGCACAATCTTTCAGGTAGGTGCATAGAAGCAACATTCCTAGTACATAAATAGAACGTCCAAAAATTAATATTTCAATCGGAACAATCTTAGAATATTCATTAAACATTCCTAAAAGAACATTCCAAAAAGCACTTTGAGGGAATATTCTGAGAATATGAATGTTCTTTGGATTCTGATTATTTTGATACACAATTTTAGGTAAAAAATTACTTGGATATACTAGGTACTTATACGTACAATGCAATTTTCTATTGTAAAATTGATAGAAACGGAACGTGCTCCGGACTAGAGAATAGGTAGAGACATCTTTTGGCTAGTGCAAAAAATAACGTACGAGTCTATCTAAGACGTACAATGAACTATAACCAAAAACTGGAATGCTAACACATAAGGAAGAACGTGAAGCCTAGTGCAGCTGCTGCGGAGGGGATACCTGTTTTTGTCGCACTCATTATGTTAAATGGCGAAAATTGCTTCCAACACGTATTGCAATTGATGAAACCTCCCTAATAACACCGATCTCCCAGAAACATCCTATTTATGTACCATTAAGGTCCTTATGTTTCCGACATAAATGGTACATCGCTGCGATGTTTGTAATGTAACA